TATTTATTCATAGCAGTTCACAAATTCTCTTCTTTCCTCTTACCATCCTTTTCACAGAAACCTCAGAAAATGATTTAATTATTTAGAGCAGTTGCTGTATATTTAAGAAAAAGTTAGGGAGGAACTAAATAAGTACTTTTTAATCTATAAATTTAGAATGTAGGATTATTTCTACTACATGCTAAGACCGTAGTAAAAAATTCAACCAATTGGATGTTTCCTTTCCCAGGAATACAAGGACTGATATAACTTCCATTTTTTCCTCCCACTGATTTGACCAGCTGTTTATTAGGTCATCACTATATTAACGTTAGAAGATTTATATGCATAATTTTAGGAAAAGGAAATAGCTTTTAACATCTCAATTTTTAAAACTAAACTACATCCTGACAAATGAGAAATTCTTAGAAAGCAAAGCTCAGTACTGTGTGTCAGTCAAAGAATTTAAAATTTATGTCACACCCATCTTAAGCACTCACACTATTATACACACAGCACTTTGAAAATGTGAGCAGATTTGTCTTTTTAGTAAGAAGGAACAGAAACCAAGAAGATGCACCATGTAAACTGAAGTACAGTGATATTGATTGGACCAATAAGAATTTACTATGTGTTCTAGGAACATGAGGTAAAGTCAGAAGTTTTAGATTTCGTTAATGAAAACATAAAACAATCTTGCAATAAAACTTATAAGGCTGATTTCATCTACCACCACACAAACACTTTGCTACATGTTGTTCGTTTTAAGCTATATACTAAAAACACTTTATAATCAGTATTTTAAAATGGATGGCAGCCTTTGACAATATTTAGTGCTTTATAGCAATACACTAAGACTAACTTTAGAAACTGTAGCATAATGAAATTTTATAGCCAATTAGGTTGATGAGTCACTGTCAGCTTCCTGAATTCCTTTTTTCGGTGAAAGAGAGAAGCAGATGTAAGAAGTGAGAAGCAGACTGGTTCTTATAAAATCTTAAGTATTGTCATGAGATTGAAGTGTTAGGGAATAAAAAAAATACATTGTCCAAACATCCTGAAAAGAAATCAAATAATTTCTTTTTAAATTTAGAAATGGTAATAGTATTCAGTCTTTTAGTTTGTCACCATGTACTTACATGGATTTAGAAAAAAGACTTATAGTGTCCATTGACTCATGTGTGACAATAGTCACTAGATAGCCTTCTAACCTTTACCTTAAAAGAAAAAATGTGCAAAGTTGGATATATTTAATCTTCACTCAAACTAATTGGAATTTATAGCTAGTCAAGAAAATAGTTTGACTAGTGGTGTGGTATATGAGAATTAAAATAAATCTCTCTATATATAAAGTTATTTTTTTTTTTAGGAGAATCCAAGAAAGATTATATTTGTTAAGTTGGAGCAGCTCTATTAAAACTGATCAGGAAAATGTTGTATGTAACTTTATCCTAATTATTGAATGCTTGGAAATATATTTATAGATTGATAGAGAGGTTGCAGTAGCATTAAAATAAAATAATAATATATTAAATCTATAACATTTTGAAATAGAGTAAACTCAAAAACATAAAATATTCATACACATCTAGCTTTTACATATATTCCATGGATTGTGGGACATTTCCAAATTTCTTAATGTTCTCACGGTCTTTATGTTCTTTGAATCAATCTGGCTTGGCCATTTTCTGCAGTTCTTTGGCTTCTGACAATGCTCCATGTTGTTGAAATGGAGACATGGAAATCCTCTCTTTTTCTTTAAAGTTCATAAAAGAAAACACAATTAGATAATCAATGTTCACAGAAGAGATGCAAGTGTGTGGGTGTGTGAGTGTGTGTGTGTATGCAGCAGAGAGATTTGCAGAGTAGCAATACAAACAACATATCCTGGAATATTAGTGTTATGAACTGAATGTTTATGTCTCCCCCATATTCATATGCTGAAACTTAACCCCCTAATGTGATGGCATTAGGAGATGGGGCCTTTGGGAGGTGATTAGGATTAGATTTGGTCATGAGGGTAGAGCTCTCATGAATGGAATTAGTGCCCTTATAAGAGTTTTGAGAGAGCTTGCTCCTCTCTGCTCTCTGCTATGTGAGAATACAAGAAAATGGCCACCTGCAACTCGGAAGAGAGCCTTCACCAGAACCCAACCATACTGGCATTGTGCTATGAGATATAAGCTCCTGCTGTTTACAAGTCACCCAATGTGTGGTACTATGTTATAGTTACCCAAACTGATTAGAATAGATTGCTGCGTTTTGAAATTATAGATTTATCATGTCTCCAGTTGTGAGATTCTGATTCAGTGGAATCCGTGCTTGAGAAGATCACCAAGAATGGAACAACTGGGCTGGGATGCATAGTCTTCATTTTCAGTTATCAATTTCAGGGATGCAAAATAATGAAGACAAAGGTCTCCATAGGTAGGCCGAGGGAACTACCCTCAAAGTAGTTATTTCTGTCTTAACTCACTAAATTTCCTTGTCATTTGCCTTTTTTTTTTTTTTTTTTTTAAATAATCAACCATGCTGGTCTGCTCAAGACTGTAAGACTGTCCAGTCTTGGTCCTACATCCTGAGAAACTTCTCAGTTCTGGGCTAACCAGAGTGACTGGTCAGATGAGGTCTTTAAAGAAATAATTGAATCTTTTTGGCTTCTGTGCCCATTTTCAGTATTTATTCATGAATTGTCTATTTTGTGGTTAAAACTGTGGGAAAGGAATTTTAGGCAGAGGCTGAAAGGGCTGTGTTCACAGGTCACTTAATGATATTCTGAACATAAATAATACTGTCCTAGGACCCAGGAGACAAAGCAACACAGAAATAGAGGGCATTGTCCCCATATCTGCATGGATCTTAGCTTAGATCATGCAGCTGAGGCAGGTTGAAGGAGACATTGTATTTTTTGGCAATTTGAAGATGTTCTTTGTTAGATCTTCCTTCTTCCTTTGGGCCCCCAATCCTGCAAAACCTTCAACAGGAGGTTTTTAGGGAAATAATGATGTAATTCTCTACAGTGAAAGCTTGATTTTAAAGCTATTAAGTTTGACATGGAGGCAGACTACATAGCTATATGGTAGGCAATTGGATACGTAAGCTAAAAGTCAGGTTATAGGAAAGTCTTAGAAAACGAATTTTCCAGAAAGCTAGATTCTAAAATGAATTAAATTGACTACTCTACATTGGTCTAATGATTTGGACTCTATAATGAACATTTTGGATTCTGATTTATATTTCTAGACTTTAGAAATAATAATAGGCGAAGGCGTTGAGACAAAATGGATTCTGAGGTTGGAGAGAAAAGAGGACTCGATCTTAGGGAATGGAAAGTTGAGCCATTAAAAAATTTCAAAAAGGCATATGGAAAAGGAAGAGCAGAATTCAGGATCATGGCAGACTACAGAGAATAGGACACTGACCAACAGCATTTAAAGGATTAGAGTGTAAAAAATGGTTGAGACCAGATGGAAAACATGTTCACTAATTGAATGAATAAAAATGAATGAATTGACCACTAGATTTATCTAGAAGAAAGTCACTGGTTTTATTAGAATGTAAAAACCCAAATAAAACAATCGTTTTAATTCTACCCTAAATTTAGAGGAGATAGTGTGAAGAAAAGAAATATTTGTTGAATTTAAAGGCTGTTAAAGGTTACTAACTGACATCCATGGAAAGGTTTAAAGTATTTGCTTTTGGTCTTTCCAAGTGTTACTGATATATAAAATTTGGTGGATGCAGAAATGATAGGAGAAACTTTTGGTTTCCCTAGTAAGCTCCCAATGTCCTTTCTGCAATTTTTTTCTTGAGTGCTCAACAGTCTCGTCTTCTACCACATTTTTTTCTGGGGATTTAGAGAATCCCGGGCTTCAAGTAAGAGACCTGGAGATGGTTCCTGTATCTGATCTATGTGTCCTAAGTAAATTTTACCTCCACGTGTCTCGATTTCCTCATCTTCAAAATGAGAATGTTGGATTATAACTAATTATACATTATCTAACTTTAACATTGAATTTATCATCCATTTTTAATTCCATGTTTCCGTTACATATTAAATGATAAACACCAAGCTAAAAGTAGTCCCCAGTACCAATTCTCAGGAATATGCCTAAACACAAAACAGTTATTCTGAATGATATTTATTTTGAGAGATCTACGTCTTTTTAATAGAAAATTAGAAGAGATAATTGATGGGGATCTAATGTGCAGTATGGTGACTATAGTTGACAATATAGTACTGTATACTTGAAATTTACTAAAAGATTAGATCTTAAAAGTTCTCACCAGAAGAAAAAAATGGCAACTATGTGAGGTGATGGACGTGTTAACTAATCTTATTGTGGTAATCATTTTACAGTACACATATGTATTGAATCATCATGTTGTATACCTTAAACTTTCATGATATTATATGTCAGTTATATCTCAGCAAAGCTGGAAAAATAAGAAAAGAAAATAGAAACATGAGTTCGAGAAGAAAATAAATTGAATGATTTTACTGAAAATAACCAGGTTCACTTAAGGAAATACTGTCATTTAATATCTACAAAAAAGGCTCCCAGATAGAGCATATTCAAAACAAGAACAGACCTTGGTATGAGTGACACCTGACTTTGGGTCACTAATTAAACCATGCTTCTGGAGCTGACATGTATAAAAGAACAGCAGTCTACACATTTTACATAGAAATCAAATCATTACCAAAATGTTATGTAATTACTGGAATGCATACTGTAATAGAACCCAATAAGGTGCAAATAAAAATAATAAAACTATATGTCTTTTATTTACTTTATATATTTTTGTTGCTAATGAAATAGTTTGTTATTTTCAAATACAAAATTCGATACCTAGTTTAAAAACATGACTCAGTAAATATAGGACTAAAATAATTGGGAATAAAATCAAATAGTTTTGTCTTATTAAGTGTACTTCACATGTGGGAAATCTTAAACCTAATGCCACCTTTTGGTGAAATCTAACAGTGTCAACTGATGATTTTCCTTTTTATTTTGAAGGGCTGGAGCGAATTGCGCGGGATTCATCTTACGAACAGGAAGGAAAGGTCCAGTTTGTAATTGACGCCGTATATTCCATGGCTTACGCCTTGCACAACATGCACAAAGATCTCTGCCCCGGATACATTGGCCTTTGCCCACGAATGAGTACCGTTGATGG